CTTACAACAAAAAAAAAAAGCGCATCTGCGCCACATCACAGACACCCCCTCAACCGCAGCACCCCACCCCACCCCCACCCCCCCCAAACCAAAATTTTATTGCAGATTCGGGTCCTCTCGCCGAGCGCAGAACGACTGGGCATTTATTTTGGCCCGCCCGGTTTACCCGGGCGACCCCCCCAGGCCCAACCAGCTGGGCCCAGCCCGGCCGGGGGGCGTCCTCACTCAGATATAATATTATTAAATTAATAAGTATAAATAAAATTCTGAATTACCTGGGCCCAGTCAGTTCGATGATGATAAAAAAAATGATAATAAAAAATAAAATAAAAACTTCAAAAAAGCAATTTATAGGTCCCCAGTTATTTCTTCAATTCTTCAAACTCTCGGGCGGAGGATTGGCTTATCAAAATCAAATCCCCGCAAAGATGATGCAAAATCTCTCAAGTGCCCTTTTCCCACGACAATCCAAATTTGCTGGATGGACATTGCGTCTCATTTGATATGCCCCTTCGAGTACCGGGTCAACTTTGCCGGACGTCCCGGTACTTCTGGCCGTTGGCCCCTAGGACCTGGTCGTTGCCCGGCACTGCACAAAGTTGTGCAGCAGTCCGACCAGGGTGGCGGGGCCTGACGCAAAAATTACTCACTGACAGGGCCCGGAAAAAAAAAAAAAAAATCCTCACATCTTTGAGGCGTAAATCAGGAAATACTGCATCTTTGAAATACCATATATTTGAGGTGCAAAGGCTGCAAAAGAAAAAAAAAAAATCTGAAAATTTCCCCATAAAATAAAAATTTAAATAATATAAATGTTAAAAACAGCATGCAACTGTGATATCTGCCAGATTTCCACTTCAGGAATAAAATGAATGAGGATAAATCGGTGTTAAATCCTTATTCGTTAAGCAACCAAAAAAAAAAAAAAAAGTCAATTTTGCATTCGCGTCCCACCAGGAGGGGAAAAAATAAATAAATGAAAAAAGCAAAAAGGTAAATCCAAAAGAACCTAAAAAATGGATAGAACCTAAAGATATTGACTCTATTAATAAAATAGCCAATGGGGTAAGAATGCATATGGTTTTGAAAATCTGAAACTTCTTTTTCTTTTTTTTTTGTTGTTCTCCTTCATGTGAATCTATTTATAGACGACATTGGACAGTCTGTACTAAAGGCCTGGCCCCAGGAGCGCTAGGCTATGTTCATGCTAAGAGAACGCACGTACCCAGCCACTTTCTTGACCAGGTTCATTCTTTCTGAGCACAAACATAGCACAAGACTAGTGTGTCATGCTCCTGACATTACCGCAAAGGCCTTCAATGGATCAGGGGCATTTACAACAGAGAGGCCTGGAGGGGTACAAAAGGAAGGCACCCTCCGATGTCGGCGTCGATGATTCCTCACAGGCAATTGCTGCCATGCCATTAGCAGGACCCACTTGTGCTATGTTCATGCTTCAAAAACATGAACCTGCCCATGAATGTGGCTGGGTACGTGCTTCCTTTGCACGAACATAGTGTATGTAGCACCCTCAGGACCAAAGGGAGGGTAGCAGGTTATAAAGGGAGAGAGTACCTCCAGTAGCCTCTGGAGGTGTACAAAGGGGGTAAGTAGAGGGGTCCCCTCGAGTAGCGTCTCTCTCTCATTCACATCCATCATAACTTTCATTGAATTATCTTCATTTACTTTCTGAACTACACCTTTTTCTTCTTTTTGTTCTTCTTCTTCTTTTTTTTAGTTTTCTTCTTTTTAGTTTCCTTCTTTTTTAAGGGTGACAGCCTTGAGGAGCATTGTCGAACCGATCCGGCCCACGCAATTCGGAGTTATTTTACTCATCTGATTCCAGCGGGATCTGAACTCGGGTCTCCTCACAGGCACAAGGCCTTGGTACACACTGAGTGCACATTTAAAAATAAAAATTAAAAAATAAAAAAAAATCATTTGTTAAATTGTTACAGTTGTGGGCATTCCAAGTCTACAATATAACCGCACATATAATTCCAATATTTAAAACTAGAATCAAAATTCAATAAATTAAATATTGTGAATATGAAATTCACATTTGCGATTGACTTTCCGCGATGCTACTTCAATTTAGTCCGAATTTCTCAAAAGAGCAAATTTGAAATTACATTGCAGCAGGTAGTACGTAGGCTTCCTGAAGCAGAATCCCCCAGCCTGACTACTTGCCTGTGTCTTCTGTGCATGGAGTGATATATATATATCGTCACAAATAGAACTGCCCGGTAAACCGTAGGCAGAGAGAGAGAAGAGGACAACAAACGGGGGGCTGTGACGTGCCTCTCACGTACAAGGCCCGCCACATTGATGAAGTTGAGCGTGAGCTGCCCCCATCCCAGTGTGCCATAACAGCCCACTTGTACGCTGTGAGAAAGAGGCAGAGAGAACGGGGAGGGGATAAACACAGGGAGGAGAGATGGAGAGCAGACAAACAAAGAACAATAAAGGGAAAGTAAGGGAAAGCATGGAGTGTGGAGTGAAGATGAAGGCAGAAGAGGATAAGAAAAGTCTGTCCTTGACGACAGAGAGGACATACATTGTAAGGATGAGTTGGATGAACACATGGAAGACCTAGCTGAGCATTCTCAGTGCAACAATTGCCACGACGGCTGGCATTGAGCATCCCCACCATACACCCCCGACAAATGGCATGTCGATTGCAGGCCAAAATGAAGGAAGAAGGGTCACCACAAAAGAGCATGCATTCAGTATAGCGCCCATGGCTGCAAAATGGACATATAGTGTCCGGATGMGGAGGGTGCCTGCAGTCCGGAACGGCGGGACAGTCCTGTGCACACATGGATGCAGAAACCATGTCATTGTAGTGATTGTGACAGAGACGATGGCGGCTACAGCCGAGTGTAACAGTGTTTGTGGCTTTGTCAAAGGAGAATGATGCTACATTGTCTTGCTATATATATATATATATATATATATATATATATGGATTCTGCAGACTGTTGAGGCTGTCTCTTATACACATCTAGATGTGTATAAGAGACAGCACACACACACACACACACACACACATACACACACACAAATGTGTGTGCGTGCTCGTAGTGTCTAGTAGTATTTACCTTCTTCCTCTCCTTCTGTGTACGTATCTTTCACTCTGTCCACCAGTTTCCATCGGTCCATCTTCCTCTCCATTTATCAATCTGTTGAAGTAAGCGGACTGCCCATCTTTCGGCCTTTCCATCTGTCTCTTTGTCTCTCTGTCTCTCTGTCTCTCTGTCTCTCTGTCTGTCTGTCTGCCCGCCCACCCGCTTCTCTGTCTGTCTGCCTTTCAGTCAGGCTGTATGACTGGCGATCTGGCTGTATGTCTGTCTGTACATCCTTCTGCCTGTGAGCTGTTCCTGGCCTGTCCTACTCCCTCCTCTCAGCTGGCACTCCCGGTCTTACACCAGGTCCTCCCTGTGCCTCTCCCTGGGTTAATTACTCCTCCATTGAAAAGTCCTTTATTCGAATCTCCACTCTCTCTCTCTCTCTCTCTCTCTCTCTCTCTCTCTCTCTCTCTCTCTCTCTCTCTCTCTCTCTCTCTCTCTCTCTCTCT